AGGGGAAAGAATAATCATGCCAAAAAGGGCCATGGCTACGTGCAGCCTATTCACCACATGAACTGTGCCCCACTGCATGCTCTTAGACAAGGCAATTAAGAAGTCTGTAATTCAAAATATAGTAGAGAAAGCTGCAGTCAGGGCCACTTCTGAAGCGAGCGTCTTTGATGCATATGGTCTTCCAAAGCTCTGTGTGAAACTGCACTATTTTGTGAATTGTGCCATTCACAGCAGCAAGGTGGTGAGAACCAGACTCAGACTTCCAAGTGCTGCCCCATCACGACCACCAAAGCCCATATAGGATTTGATTCCTAAAAGGCTGAAGAAAAAAACTCATAAGACAATAAAATTGAAATTATACTTTAAAAAAAAGCAATAACAACAACAAAAAACCAAATAAAACAGAATCATACATCAACAGAGAACTGTCGGAAAAGGCTATGGCACTAAGGATATCACGGATCTTGGTTCAAAACAGAGAATATCTGTGTGTGTTTTAATGGCTATGTGGATCACAACAAATTATGGCTAACATTGAGAAGAATGAGAATCCCAGAACACTTAGTTGTGCTCAAGCAAAATTACACCTAGACCAAGAAGATGTTGTACAAACAGAGCAAGGGAATATTGTATGGCTTAAAATCAAAACAGGTGTGCATTAGGGATATATCTTTTCCCCATACTTATTCAAACTGTATGCTGAACAAATCAATGGAGTTGCTGGACTTGGTAAAGAATAGGGCATCATGCTAAGTAGTGGACACATCAACAACCTGCATTATGTAGATGAAACCACCTTGGGAGCTGAAAGTGAATAAGACCTGAAACACTTGCTGCATAAGATCAAAGACTACAGCCTTCAATATGAATGAAATCTTAAGATCAAGAAAACATAATCCATCAGATGCTTCACTGGAGACAGCATACAACAACAACAAAAAGATCAAGAAAACAAAAAAAATCTCACCCCCTGGCTAATAGGCAACATCAAGATAAGTAGAGAAAGGATTGAAATTGTCTATGACTTCATCTTACTTGGAACCACAATCAACACCCTTGGTACAAGCAGTCAAGAAATCAAAGATGTATCACACTGGGAAAATCTGCTGTTAAAAACCTCTTCAAGGTTCTAAGGAGCAACAATGTCAGTTTAAAGACTAAGCTGTACTTGATCCAATTCATAGTCTTTTTAATTGCTATGCATCTGAAAGTTGGACAATGAATAAGAATAAAAGAAGAATCAATGCCTTTGAGTTGTGGTGTTGGAGAAGTACTGGATATTCCAAGGACAATCAAAAGAACAAATAAACAGAAAAGAACAAGCAAATATGCCTTGGATAAAGTACAACCAAAGTGCTCCTTAAAGACAAGGAAAATTAAACTTCATCTCACATACTCTGGGCATGTTGTTAGGAGGCACCAGTCCTTGGAAAAAGATACCACGCTTGGTATGGTGGAGGGTCAGAGAAAAAGAGAGAAAAATCCTCAACTAGATAGACTGACACAGTGACTGTAACAATGGGCTTGAGCATATCAGAGTTGATGAGGATGATTCAGCATAGGACAGCATACAGACGCCATGATCAACCTGGCAGCACCTAACTATAACCGTTCTCTACCAAGACGTACCATGAGAAACCAAAACTTTAAATCCAAAAGGGAGCTCTAGTGATATAGTTCAAATGGAGCTGTGCTGCTAGCCCAAAGGCCCCACCTCTTGCAGTCTGATGTACAGTTTCTTCCTGTACAATTTATAGCCTCTGAAACTGTATCAACTGTAAGTCAGTTCTAACTTGACGGTAATGAGAGAAAACACAAGAGTGAAAGAGAGAAAATATAACCTTTACTCCCTAAACTTGTTCATCCTCCTACATTCCCTGTGGAACTGTTTAGTCACCAAAGACAGTACTTAAGAGATTCTTCTTTAATCCCTTCTAATTCATATTCAAGTCACACAATCCATTTCAAACCTTAAGTTTACCTGCTTCTCAAATATGTCAAGAAGTTTCACAGTTTAGTACTTCAAAGTCCATTATCAATCCATCTAGAAAATTCTCTACATAAATAACTTGACTAATTCTTTAGACCTGAGCTGAAGAATTATTTCCTCTAAAAAATAAAAAACATAATTCACATTTACTGAGAGCCCTGGTTAGCATTTGGCTACTAGCCAGAAGGCCAGCATTTCTAACTCACTAGCTACAACATGGAAGAAATGAGGCAGTTTGCAGTCTTGGAAACCTTGAGTAGGACATGATGCTGGGAGGGGTGGAGGGTCAGCAAAGGAATCGAAGACCTTCAACCAGGTGGACTGCCCAAGAGACTGCTCCAATGGGCTTTTTTGTGCCAAGAAGTGTGAGAATGGTGCAGGATAGAACAGGGTTCAGATCTTTTATTCAATGGGATGCTGGGTCGACGGCACCTAACAACATTGTACAAAACATTTTACATGCATTATCTTGCCTAATTCTCAAAATACGGTCATGGAGTAGGTACTATTAGTGTGGAGGCTATGGTTAATTACTTCTCAGTATTAACTGTTTTCTTAATTTCTGATTAAGAAATTAAACATGATGTCCCTCTCCAAGGAATAGCCTTATCTAGCACCATGCCCAAAGTATGTGAGACAAAGCTTTAGTATCTTTGCCTCTGAGAGGCACCCTGGCTACACCCTGTCCAAGACATTTTTGCTTGTTCTTTTGGCGGTCATGGGATATTCAGTACTCAGACACCACAGTTCAAAGAAATCAATTCTTCTTCTGTCATCCTTATTCACTGTCCAGCTCTCAGAGGCATAGCAAGTGACTATTCATAGGGTAGATAACAGCTGACTGGAGGATAACTAACAACAAATTCAATTCATAACTCTTCCTCTCTTTTTCCTCCCATCCCTGTAATCATTAATGTTTCTTTCTGTATGTAAATCTATTCTTGACTTTTATAATGGTAATTTATACAATGTTTATCTTTTGCAATTGACTTAACATTATCTTCCAAATGCACTCACATTTTGAGATATTTTTACAGACTTAATCTTGACAAGTATTCTATTGTGTCAATCCATAACTTTTTACTGTGATCCTTAAAAAAACCATTAAGAAAGGACCATGTGACACACTGAAAACCTTTGCTCAGTTTGTCTTTCCTCAAGTATGTAAGCCACTCGGAGACAAAGGCTTTAGCATTTCATTCATCTACTTCACTGTGCCCAGCAGAGTGCCTGGCACATGGCAAGACCTTTAAGTATTAAGCTATTTCACCTCTTCTTTCTCACTCCTAAATCAGAAAACAACTTCTTGTCAAAATTTTATAGCAGAATCTCTGTCTTCTCCTTCATATAAGTATTTTGTGTGTTTAATTTTCCCCACCAGGCCATGAGCAATATGCCGGCAAGGTACCTCGGTCTCTATTAACTCAAACAACTGATGAATGAATTTGTAAATAAAACAGCTAAATTTAAAGACAACCTTTTACCAACTGATTGCTCACTGTGCATTTGTATGTTGCTGTTAAAACTGTTTTCATTTCTATTATGTAGGCATATATATGATGAGCAAATTATCCAAGAAGCTGGATTCTGTGAAGAGGAGTGTGGCATCGGGATTGGAGGGAGACTCATCAGCAGATGACACAACCTTGCTTGTTAAAAGTGAGGAGAATTTGAAGATCTAGGAATGCAGCCTTAAGTATAGATTGTGTCTCAATATCAAGAAAACAAAGATTCTTACCACTGGACCAGTAAGCAGTGTCATGATGGATGGAGAGGAGATTCAAACCGTCAACAGCTTCATCTTGCTTGGATCCACAATTAACACTCTTGGGTATGTGCAGTCAGGAAATAAGGAGATGCATTGAAATGGGAAAATCTGCAGTTAGGGACCTTTCCAAATTATTGAGGAGTAGGGATGTCAGTTTGAGGACTAAGGTGTGTCTGATTTGGGCCATGGTCTTTCCAATTACTAGCTATGCATCTGAGACCTGGACAATGAATAAGGATGACAGAAAAAACCTGATGCCTTTGAGCTGTGGTTTTGGAGAAGAACACTGAACATTCCATGGACCACCAAGAAAACAAATAGATATGTCTTGGAGAGCGTGCAACCAGAGTGCTCTTTTATTGCTAGCAGGTGCTATTCCTTGGAGAGGGGAATGATATTGGGAAGGGTGGAGGATCGGCAAAGGAGAGGAAGACCCTCAACCAGGTGGATTGACAAGATGACTGCTGCAATGGACTCTTGTGTGTCACGAAGTGTAAGGATGGTGCAGGATAGGACTGATTTCAGATCTTTGTTCACTGGGTCGCTATGAGTAGTACTCGACTCAATGGCACCTAACAACAACAACAACTATTCGATTACACATTAGCTGCACTGTTTACAAACTAGGTTTCCAAGCCACAAAGACCTCTGGCTAATTTATACAATACTAGGTACTGGAGGAAATACAAACTTGGCTCTGAAAAGTGTTTCCAGTATATCAAGAGATTCAATCTAAGAATAACTATTAAATCCAGAATCTAAACAATACAGATCGCTAGAACACTAGACTGTTCCAGTATGTGAGTCACGTGGCTCTGCAGTGACGGCGATCATAAGTGTGGTTCCAGGCTACCGTAACTCACCACACAGCCAACTGGTTGTTTCATCTCCTGGAATTTATTACAAGCGCCTTGCCTAGCATACTCCTCTTGCGTGTGTGGAGATGTGCAGAAAGTAACCCGTCTTTCCTCAGACCCATGCAGCCTCCCAGGTCCTGCTACTTCCAGGGCTTCCTACCCTCTCAGGCTCATTCAGCACCCCAGGAGGACCTGTCCCTCACCTACCCCCCCGGCCCTTTCTCTCGCGGGGAACTCTGCTGGTTTTTCCAAGGACCTTCTCCTCTCTGGTCAAGCAAATGTGGGATTCGGAGTAAACGCTTACAAAAGCCACAGGCCTCCTCTCTCCTCATGTCGGCCCCGAGGCCAGCCAGTGTTTTTCTCCTTGGCCTTGCTCCATTCTCACCTGCTCCGCCGACACCGCCCCCTTTCCGGTGCCGCTGCCGCTGCCGCTGCTCTTGCCGGCGCGACCGGTGTTCTCCGCCATCTTCGTCGCCTGCTGGACTTCCGGCCTGCGCAGCTCAGCCCTCGCCTTACGTCACGTCCGGTCTCGGAGTTACCGCCCACTTGCCCGTGCACGGCCTGGCTCCAGTGGCTCCTGGGAGCTGTTTCATTCGTTTCCTGTGAATGGTTCCGGCAGCCTTCATGTAGGATCTACTTCCCATGAATTTCACCTGCGGTACTTCTAACTTGTGCAACCGAACGCTGCCCCAGGGAGACGGGGAAGGACGAGTTAGCTGAAGGATGGGGACAAGGGTTCTGGTGGCAGCGTGCTGGCAGGGTGAACTCCTAAGAGATTCTCACCGTAAGGAGGAAAATAGCCCTTGAGTCAGTAAGGCTGTGCAGATGCACGGTCACGGATAGAGGCCTGGAAAAACCAAGGTAGTTTGCCACAGGTGGCTTTTGAACTGCCAAGCCATTTGACAGAAGAAAAATGTTTCAGTATGAGATCATTGTAAATCAAAATACTCAGTCCCCCAGCAGACCCCTTCCTCCACCTTACTACGTTGTGATCTCTTCTTGTAATCCTTCTTTAAAGGATGTTTTGAAGACTTGGAGGATCTTACTGGCAGGTCCCTAATTCAGCTTCCCCCTCTTCAGGAAAAAAGTTAAAGAAACCTAGAAATGTGTTCATTCATGGAGGGAATTGGTGTTGATTTCTCACCTTTTTCAGGCAGGGCTACATCATCCGGTTTCGTCACCAGTTCCTGTCCTTCCTGTGTCCTGGACTTCGGATACCTCAACTCCCAGTACTTTGTGCTCAACTCAGGTAACCTGTTTTGTGTTCTTTGTGCCTGGCACATGGTAGCACTCAATACATGTTTGCTAACCAGTGCCTTAATTGGTGAACTAACCAGGACTAAAATTGTGTGTCCTCTAAGAGCAGAATCAGTTCTGATTCTCTGTCCCGCCTTCCTGCTGCCCCATTTAAACTTATTATTAAACTTACATTTCCTCAAGCTAACATTTGAGACTCCTATCTGCCATTCACAGGCCCAGAGCCATGGCTGTCTCCTCTTCCTCTTGTGAGCTGCCCTTGGTGGCTGTATGCCAACTAACATCGACACCAGACAAGCAGCAGAACTTTAAAACATGTGCTGAGCTGGTCAGGGAGGCTGCCAGACTGGGTGCTTGCCTGGCTTTCTTGCCTGAAGCATTTGACTTCATCGCACGGGACCCTGTAGAGACGCTACATCTGTCTGAACCACTGGATGGGAAACTTTTGGGAGACTATTCCCAGCTTGCCAGGTATCAAGGAGAAGGGTATGGAAAAGTAGAATCTTTATTGGGCAGTGTCCCTGGATTGACAGAGCTTTGAGAAGAGTTGTCAGTGTCCCTTCCCCCCAGGGAATGTGGACTCTGGCTGTCCCTGGGTGGTTTCCATGAGCGTGGCCAAGACTGGGAGCAGACTCAGAAAATCTACAATTGTCATGTGCTTCTGAACAGCAAAGGTGAGACTTCACAACCCTTTAGCCTGTCTCCTTCCAGGCTGCTCTTCCCACAGATCTCAAAAATGCTTTCTCAACTCTTATTTCCTTGTCTCAAGATTTTAAGTGTATTTGTATTTCTATTCCTACTAACTTTGGAGATGGGGAGGGGAGCTAAACTGAGCTTCTCGAGTACCAACACTGATAATCCTTTTTCCTTATTCTAGGATCAGTTGTGGCCACTTACAGGAAGACACATCTGTGTGATGTAGAGATTCCGGGTCAAGGACCCATGCGTGAAAGTAACTCTACCCTGCCTGGCCCCAGCCTCGAGTCACCTGTCAGCACACCAGCAGGCAAGGTGGGAGTTGTGTAATGAGGGTGAAAACAGGTCTAAGAGGGAAGGTGGATTGGAATAATCTCAGTGATGGCAGAGGATAGGAACCCCTAAGCAATGGAACAGCAGGGTTATAAATAGATAATGTAACAAGTGGAACAGGGAAGCTTAAATGGAATTTTCATTCTAGATTGGCCTAGCTATCTGCTATGACATGCGGTTCCCTGAACTCTCTCTGGCATTGGCTCAGGCTGGTGCAGAAATACTTACCTATCCTTCAGCTTTTGGATCTGTTACAGGCCCAGCCCACTGGGAGGTAAGAGAATACTTCTACAAAACTTTAAAGGCCTTCCCTTCATTTTCCTCTCTTGGCCCTATTGTTAGATGCAATTAACTAGGACTCATCCTGTGAACAACATATATGAACTTTGCCAGTTTCACAATCTGATATACTCTGAGCCCACAGTTAAAATTTTTATGTACTACTGAGTCACCTGCAACTGTACAACAGCTCTGAAGCCTGTCCTGTCCTGAGCCAGCCTGGCTCTGACACACCTACCCCCACTGCCCTAGTTAGTTATAATTACTTTATCAACACATAGTGCTGAGGATATTTCTCTTTCTCTGGCCTATTATTTCCCAGCATGATTTCTTTTTCCAAGGACTGACAACATAGGCAAAATATACCAAGATGAAGTTTCACCATCCTTGTCTCTAAGGAGCAGTGTAGTTGCACTTCCTCCAAGATCTATTTGTTCCTTTGGTGGTCCATGGGATATTCAGTCCTTTACCACCATAGTTCATTAGTTGATAGATTTTCTCTTGCTATATAGTAGGAACAGAATAAAGTTGCTCTCCCATTACATAATGAGTAACTCTTTTTAGGAAATTGTCAGAATGATCACAGTGGATAGATGAACACCCCCCCATGACCCCCATCTTCAGGTACTGCATTGCTCCCCCAACACGGCTCAACCCCCCCCCCCCCCCCGGCTTTTAATACCCACCTATTACTTTCTCAGTAGCTGCTACATGTAGTAAAGTGAACACACATCTCATTCCCAGGTGTTGCTGCGGGCCCGTGCAATTGAAACCCAGTGCTATGTAGTGGCAGCAGCACAGAGTGGCCGCCATCATGAGAAGAGAGCAAGTTATGGCCACAGCATGGTAGTGGACCCCTGGGGAACAGTGGTGGCCCGCTGTTCTGATGGGCCAGGCCTCTGCCTTGCTCGAATTGACCTCAACTATTTGCGACAGCTGCGCCAACACTTGCCTGTGTTCCAGCATCGCAGGTCTGACCTCTATGGTAATTTGGGTCAACTGCTGTCTTAAGCCTTTAACTTCATGAGTTGAGGCTCCCATTGTGGGCAGGACCCAGACCCAGCTCCCCACACTTGGTCAACTTCAACTTTTTTGATGGAACACAGGTTCAGCTTGCTGAGAAAGAAATTTTCACCTGAGCTCATTTAGTTTCAGAAAGGTCGAATTTTATAGTCACTGTTTATTTCATGAAAACTGAAGTTACGCTGAGGGCTGCGCATCAAGGCTTTTGGAAAAAAAAAAGTAATCATCATAAAGTCTGTGTTTGGACATCTCCTTTGGGAGTTGGAAGGGGTGGTAGGTATTGTACCGGCTTGAGAGGGCTCTAGATATAGGCCTCCTGGCTTATTCAACATGCCTCCCTACCAAAATAAAAGTGCAACACTCAGTGCATGTCCCACCCCCATTCTCCCAAGCAGGGGGAAAAGGGGTGGAAAGTGGGGAAGGAAAAAGGGAAGGAGAGGGAGAGAATTACTTCACTTCCATCTAGGATGCCCTTTGCCCACGTCAAAAGAAAGCAAAGGGGAAGGGCTACGGGTACATTATTTATTTTCACTTGAACATGGAAGGAAAATGCCACACTCCCTCTTCCCCTTTTCAGGGAGGAGTGTGTTTAATTAGCAACTTCTTCTCCATCCATCCTGTGTGTATAAACACACACATCACAGCTTGGAGAAGTGACTGAGTTGACCCAGTCCGCTTACCTATTAGTCCCTTGAAGAAAGTCTGACAAGGGAGAAAAAAGGAAGGAGCCACACCAGGCAGAGCTTTCATGCCATGGAATGGAAGAAAGGAGCAGCACCAGAGGCCAGGAGAGAGTGGAAAGGTCCACAGCTTTGTTTTAAAAAAATTCTATTATTTGGGAGGGGTAGTAATTCATTTCCAAAATACACTTCAGAGCCCCACCTTCCACATATCTCCCTTACTCACAGCCCTTTGGTTTTTCAGACAAAATTTTAGAAGCCCTCTTAAAAGTCTGTATTGATAACTGCTCAATGCACCCAAAAACAGTGTTCACTTCAATCCCTCACAAAGACTATGCTCTATAGACTTTGCTTCTCCCTATACATTTCTCTTACGGCTCAGTGGTAAGGTGGCTGTAGAGACACACATTGGGGTTAAGTGGAAAAGGGAAACAAAGGGGAAGCCCAGGCACATGGGTGCAGGGAGGGGTGGGGGACACCACTTCCACTTTCCTTTGTCTTTTCCTTTAAAAAGAAAAAAAAAGTGAAGAGGGATGTGATTGGAAGGGTACAGAACAAACCCCAGAACAGTATGTAAGCTCCAGAGGTGGGTGGTGGGAAGAATCCCCCAAGAGGTGAGAAGGGAAAAGGTCAGGGCAATGCTTGCAGCATCAAGTTCCTCAGAAGTTTCTGTCGGCCCAGCTCATAGTCCTCCTCGTCCACATTTACCAGAAGCTTGATGGCTTCATGGCCCACAGCCTGCTTGAGGGAGTCTGTGATGAAGACACCTTTAAGTGCCTCTAGTAATGAACCATTGATGTAGTCGCGCCAGAATGCATCGAGGTAGGTGAGCTCAGAGAACTTGATGTCACAGATGATAGAGCCCAGGTCCCGGGATTTGAGGATGGTGTTGGCCTGGTTAAAGCGCTCAAACTGGCGCTCAAGTGGGTCCTGCTTGTTAGAGAAGACATTGCCCTGCAGAGCAGTCTCGTGCTGGCAGTATTCAGCCCGAACTCGCAGTCTGATGTCTGTGCAGAAAAGATGAAAAGAAATTATAGTGAGGAAAAAGTTTGTAACACAAGTTTGAAAGGTGGGGGAGAAACAGAGCAACAAAGCAGGGGACCTCACTTAACAGCTTCTCTACCTCTCCTGCAGGACTGGTGCTTCTAAAATCTTTGCCTGAATATACAAGGTTTCCTTTAAGGAATATGCCTAGGTCAGCATTAATCCTATCACTCACCAGTAGTAATGTGTTTAGAAGGAAACGCATTCCTAATAAATACAGAAGTTCACTGTAATACACCATCCTGACTTCATCTGTCATGTTTTTATGTACAATCAAGTCAGAAGTGACTCAGCTAATGGGAAGAGAATGCCCATCTTTCTCCTACAAAGCAGCTGATGTATTAGAACCATGTGACTTTGTGTTGGCAGTGGAACTCCTTACCCCACTAAGCCATCATAGTTCCTCCATAATTGTTGTTGATGTGTATCATCAAGTAGAACTGACCCACTGCTGACCCTCAGATTTTTAGAGGCAGCCAATTACATGAAAGGAGACTGTCGCATCCTTCTTCCTCAGAGCAGCTGACAAGACTCAAACTGTGTACACTGCATTGGAAGCACAATTCCTTACTGCTGAGTCTGATGAGCTCCCTTGAGCTCAGGTGGCACAGTGGTTATGCACTAAGATGTTAACCAAGAGGTCAGCTGTTCAAGCCCACCAGCATTCCCCTGGAGAAAGATGCTACTGTTAAGTATTTCAGTCTTGATAACATGTATCCCTAGAATAGAGATGCCCTAACCGCATTTCTTTGATCTAGTATAAATGAAAAAGAATTGAATGTACTATGCACAAAGATACACCAAACACTACACCATTCAGCTTCCCGCTACAACAGCAAAGTGATCAATGCACCAAATAACATAAGCTTCCCAGTATCTCAGAAGTTCTTTGTATTCTCTCTCAAATCTGTTCCACCTCTAGAGCCCTTGAACTTCCTCACCACATGTCTGCTTTTCCTTGGGATCTGGTGTCACTGACTTCCGACGTTTTCGCTGGCTCCCAAGTGTGGCTCTCCCTCGGACTGGCCGCTTGCTACACACCTGGGGCCCCGAAGTAGGGCAGCACACCACAGGATAGTGGGGAGGCACTGACCAGAGAGTAAAAGGAAAGAAGAGACTGTAAGGTAAAAGCATAAATTCAAATATACTTTGGGATGACAAAGGAATCATTTAGACTTGGCACTGAAAAACTCAGTGCTCTCAAGTCATTATAGATTGAAAGCAACTCTCCATTAGGTTTCTGAGGCTGTAAATCGGAGAACATTGCCCATCTTTCTCAGACCACCTGCAAGATTCAAACCGTGGGATATAAGCAGCCTTTGGGTTAACACTGCAACTGTACTGACCACACCACCCAGAGCTATCTAGCACTGAAAGTTCTATCAATGTCACCTGGTAGGAGGACACACATGGCAGTGATTACAGGACCTCAGTGAACCATTAACACCTCACCTGATTTTTATAGAGCTAGATATGGGAGGACAACATCCTTACACTTGGCAAAACAGAATTATGATAGGATTAATGTCTTCTTGGCTATAGATATTAAAGGGAATATCTTCTCACCTGTTTTAGGGGGCTGGGGAGGCCTTGGTTCTGGATCACTGAGGGCTCTGGGGGTCATATAGCGAATTGACGTCTCCTCCAAATATTTGTCTACAAGATCAGGGCATACTGTGGAAGTAAAGGGAGTCATTGAAGGGAAAAAAAGATACATTCCTCCTTCCAACCCAACCCTCCAATGGACCTCATAACCTATTCTAGATGCTCCCCAGGGCCAATGGCTCCTCCCTTTAGACTGTTACACTACTTGCTCCCTGATTCCAGAGCTCCATCCCCCAGTGCACCCTCACCAGCCCTCCTCCTCTTGAGGGTGACGTAGGGCAGCAGGTCATGACGAGTGATGATGCGCAGCAGCTGCAGCACCTGGCGAAAGTTACTCTCATCACAGCGGCCCTGGCGCTCTAGCGCCAGTAAGAAGTCACGTCCACTTCGGATGAGGCCGCGTTCATGGTCATCAATGACATCAACGAAGAGGAAGGAAAGGACACGCACATCTCTGTGTGTCAGGTGGGTGCCCACGATGTCAAACATACGATGCAGACTATATAGCCCATGCTCCTGTTCACCTTGCTCTTCTGGCCACACCTGGCTTGCCTGTCGCTTTTGGCCCGCCATGCTGGGGGCTCAGGTGTGCAGGGATTTCCAGAATTCCTGCTTAGCAGCTGTAATCCCCACTGCACTGTAAGGACAAAAAAGAACTTATGATATACCCAGTGGCAGGATTCTTCTCTATTCATTGTGCCTACCACAATGCTAAGCACAATACAGTGCTATAAGCATTTATTAAAACTAAAAACTAGGAAAACACTATGAGCCTTGAGCTTTTTGCACATACCCAAAAGATACTGCCTTAATTCCAGTCAAGTGAGAATGTTGTATGTCATTTTAGTGCTATATTCAGCAAAGCTATTAGATATTACCCTGACTATTCCTCCTAACACCTGTAAAGTACTATTAGTCTCTTGAGAATTCTGTCCCTTCAACCAGTAACTTCTTAATTGTAGGCAAAATTGTGAGAGAGTTGAGAATTTATTCTTCAGTGGAATGTGGAAATACTTTCTGTGTGGCTACAAGTAGATTCTCACTCAGAACAACCCTATAGGACAGAATTTCCCCAGAAGGTTTCCAGGCTGTCAAAAGACATTATGCTTTATAAAAAGTAGAAGGTCAGTAAAAGGAAGATCCTCAACAAGACAGACTATGACAATAGGTAGGACACGGTATGGTTTCAATAACCTTGCTTGCAGAAGATGAAGACTTGAAGCACTTACTAAAGATCAAAAACCAAGGCCTTCAATGTGGATTATAATCATCTCAACACTGCTGTTGTGTGCCATCAGAACTGACTCATAGCTGACCCTCCAGTAGATATTTAAAGGCAGTAATATCACAAAGAAGGAAATTATCCATCCTTCTCCTGTGAAGCAGCTGGCAGATTTGAACCGTGTGCCTTAGGGAGACTGCAGCTCAGGTTCTTACCTCCAGACCACCCAAAATAATCCTTATCATTTTTGATAGGCAATATCATGAGAGATGGGAGGGGGAAAAAATGAAGTTGTTAACAATTTCATTTTACTTAGATCTATAAGGGAAAGGTTTCAATTTTTCATTCAGAGATCCACTGAGTTGTAGTCTACTCAACAGCACCTAACAAGATGATTTATAGTCAACAACTTTTTACAGGAGTAGACTGTCAGATATTATCTCTCACAGAGCAGCTAGTATATTTGAACCACCAATGTGTTAGCTAATAGCCAAGCACTTAACCACTGCACCACCAAGGCTCCTTCAGATGTATTCAGGGGCTGACAGGGAAACAGACTCTTTAAGGTTAGAACTAGTCATTAACAAACTGTTTAGCTCCATGACCTTAAACAAGTCACTTCAAAGCCAAGTGTCCTTCTAAAACAGGAATGAAAGAACCTACTTCTCAAGTTGTTAAGAATCAAATGAAAAAATACTTATTAAAATTGCTTTATAAACACATAAATGGCAAAGAGATTTAAAAGACAGAAATTATCTTTTACTCCTACAGCCCAAATGCATCCTTCCACAAACATTTCCTTCCAGTCCCTATAAAATTCAATGCTAAAAAAGATTAATCAATAACCACCACTAAAACTTATGGGTAGAGAGCTCTGGTAGCCTAGTGGCAAGAAGCTGCACTGCAATCCTAAAGGTATGCAGTTCGAATTCACCAGATGTTCTGCTGGAGGAGAGGCAATCTCCTCCTGTACCAGACAGATCCAATTTGACAGTACACAGAAAAAAAAATAATTAAAAAACACAGATTTAAATCCAAAAACATTTATGAAACTTCCATGTTGAGCATTCTTGTATTGTTGAGTTTCTACGCCACTAGTACCTCCTTGATAGTCACACCATTTGGATTATACGACTTTGTGGTTGTTGTTCCTCCTGTTTGCTAATTACCAATGGTCAATGACCAATCACAGGCCAGCGCTCATATCAACATGGCATTTGAATGACAAAATACATCTCTAGCATCCTGATTTGTTACTGGTAAGGTCAATGAGCCAACCAATAAATCATCTTCAAGTCCACCAACTTTCATCTCTATTCTATAATCACTTACAATACTACCCTACTAGACAGTAACCACCAATACTGTTCTACTCTTTGACCACAACCTCGATTCACCCAATAAATTATAAATTCCTATTGATGCCACTGGCCGAACTCACTCAGCATATCTTAAGCTCAAGGAACTGAAGAACAAATTCAAACCTCGAGTTGCTATAATCAAGGATGCTTTCGCCAGATCGTTAAATGATCCCGGAAGTATTAAAAGAAGATGGAAGGAATATACTGAGTCACTGTATCAAAAGGAATTGGAAGACACAGAAGAATTTCATGAAACAACATATGAGCAAGAGCCTATGGTGATGAAAGAAGAAGTTCAGGCTGCTTTGAAGGACATG